AAAAACCAGATTTATGTCATTTTGTTTTTAATATTTCATTCTGGTAAAGGACGTATCCAAGATTTATATAACTCTATATTCCAGCAGAAAACAAAACCAAATTTTGCTGTATAATGATTGTTTGTAAGTGTTTGTCTTCATCAAGCAAATTTAAGCAATGTTGCAAAGTAATTCCTGATGATGGACTATATCACACAAGATGTATTTGTGATGAACATCAATTTAAACTCTAGGAATCTGAGAAAATATTAGTTTCCAACAAGAGATTTCACTACACAACAGATAGTCCTCTAGAAGACCTATCATAAAAAATTTATTATCAGCATTTCATATAGAGAAGCATTAGAATTTCCAACAAACATATAATGAAACATATACTTATTCCTCACAGAAGAAGCATCCTGTATCTAATATTTACCACCTGGGATATCTTTAGCTTGAAGGATGCACGCCCTTGCACTAGTTTGCTTGGTTTATCATAAGAGGAAAATTCAATTCCATCATAGCTTGCAAGGAGGGGTGCTTCTTCATCAATTGTCTTCTCTACAGGAGATCCATCATCCGCATACAAAAGCAAAGCAACAACCTTCAACACAAGCAATGTGTAAGAATGCCAAACTACCAGGCTAGTGAAATAAAAAGAAAAAAATAACAATAACAGGAAAAAGGGAAAGGTGAAACCTCAACTTCCTTGTCTACAGGTTGGCCCAAGGCATTCAATAAAACAACATCCAAGGAAAAAATCCTTCGACAAGATGCCTGCAAAATGGAAAGTATGTTTTTTTTTTTTTTTCACAGGAAGTCTATAAAATAGTTGTTTTGTTAAATCATAACTGGATAAATGATAACCTACATCATTGTCTTGCATTCTATTTGATCAGTAACAATTTTATTATGATAGAATGCTTAAAGTCATGAAGGAAGAAAAGCTAGGATATCAAAAGGATAAATTCTTCTGTTCTTAGCTTTGGGAACAAAAGCAAGCAAAACAAATGTGTGGTAGAGATTCTAAATATAAATACCATATCCTCCTTTTTATTTCGAGTTCACTTCTTTGTGCTTCTGAAAGGTTTCAGCTTGGTTGTATTTTTGACTTAGGATGAATCCCTTGAGTTAACACCATTTGCAGAACATATTGAAACATAGAATAAGAACACTAGGTACGTAAAGAATTCAAAATATATGCTAGTACTGAAAGATATCTCTAAATTTATTACCTCACTGTGAATTTAAATCAAACAACACTGAGCAAGCATAATGGAGGGTAACTAAGTTTTGTTCAAACATAAATAAATAAGGGAGTTCACTAGCACCTTACACCATGGAATTTTAGAGCAGAGAAAACTTAGTTGCCCAAAAAAGTTCCAATATTATGGAATTCATCATAGTTGATAATGGCATAAAAATGAAATAGCATTAATAAAAATTCATGTTAATAATCAATGAACATAATTCATAAAATATTCAAATTAAAATGTGACAAGTATATTAAAATTATAATTTCAATCCAATTCTAAACAAAGAAAGTTAATAAATATAGATATAAATATATATATATATATATATATATATATTGTTTTAGTCCTTTTGACATATGTAACTAACCTTGCCTCCGACTATATTCCAAACACCATCACTCTCTTCTTCAATCTCAGAGGCAGATGAATTATCAATTGACAATTGTAAAGGAGGATCCTGGCAGAAAACTTGTGTATTAATTGTTTAAAATTACATGCTATGAGAAACTATCATAGAAATACAATAATTATAGCTGATACACACCTTAGCATAGTGATCCTTGATAGAAAAGGTTAAAGGCAAAACTTTAACATTGTGGATATAACCTTGCACCCCATTGTTATCATCAGTAAAAGAAAGTAATGTTATCTTCCTTAAACCATTTGATTCTGTGTCTTTGTCCAACAAGGCAGAAAAATGCCACTCTCCTGCAACTTCCCCATCAATGTGAAGCCGCACAAAATCAACTGAAACCTGAGATGAACCATAAAAGATAAACATCTCCTAGTCCTTGTAAAAGAAAGAAAATTTCACATATCTGATAACAGACAGAACTTAAAATGGTGCTAGAAGAACTACATTTACACAAACACCAAGGAAGAGAGGTGTGAGCAATGAATTATGCTACAAGTGAAGGTGGAGGAAACTGAGGCAGTAATTTCCCGATAAAGAAAACTCAACTGTAAAATTCTTTTCTTACTTCAATCTCGAGTTTGTTTCTTCTTGCAGTTTCCTTTCACTTTTTCTCTGAACCTGACCATCAATTAATATATTCTACATATGATCAAGTTTCATATTCTGTGTAAATCCTCTTCTTCTTGCTCATTTTTTTCTTTCCTTTTCTCTTTTACATTTTCTTTCTTTCTCAAAGGACCAACAGGGTATTCTTCTATTAGATAAAATGACTATCATTGTGTCCAGAGTACAATGAAAAGAATCCTGATGAATTATACAATCAACATGCAAAAGCTTGTAGCGACTCTTAACAGTTAATTCATTCTTTTTGATATTAATAGTTAATACATTGCTTAGATCCAAACCATGTCATATTGGAGGTTATGCATCATAAGACAAAAGCCATAAAGAAAAAACTGTAAACAGCATAATAGCAGGGAACAATGAACCTAGATAGCAGTGAAATCATCGTTGTGAGTTAATCTAGCTCAAAATTCCCAGATTCTTAGTATAAATTAATAATTTCAACTCTATTGACCAAGAAATTCATAATATTAAAACAAAAATAGAAATTAATAATATGAATCAAGAAGTAGTACTCATAGAAAATAGGTCCTAATGTTTTAGCAGATGTTCAAAATGTACCTCACATCCAACATGTATCCATTTTCCTAGAGAAATTTCATTCTCAGTAGACACCTTGGGAACATCTTTCCACAAATCAGCATTTGCAGGATCAGGAGAATCCTTGGGTAAAAAGGTCAAAGGAAACATCATCATTTTCCTCTTTTCATTTAGAGCAAGGAAAGGAGCACTTCCACTTATCTCTGAGTGCACCTGCAAACCCATAAGCATATTCATTATTCACTCTAGGGGAAGAAAAGGAAACAGATAATGGAGGGTAATTCAAGGCTAATCAATATTTAAGCACAAGAAATGACATCCAGGCTATATAATTTGGTATAATAATATGATTTCATCAAGAAAATAAAACAACAAACAAATACACA